GTTATTTGAGCAAGGCTGTCACAGAAGAGTAGACATTTACCCAGTAGAGTGGAAGACCCAAGTGAAAACAGTTATAGTGTGTCTTTGTAAGGATGCATAGCTGACAGGGGATGCAGTGCATGGGCTGGGATACGGGGACCGCTGGTGGTGAGTGTGCAAGGCAAGGATCAGATTAGCAGCAATTTCATATCCTATACAAAATATGATGGTAATTATAATTTCAGTAAACCTTTCCAGCCCTTTTAGAATTGTTTTCATTTCTATATACCTTATCTCAGTTTTGTGAGCTTTTGAGTTTTTGCTAATGTTCTTGCTTTGTGATAGAAAACCCCCATAGAGAGGAATTTTCTAGTGAAGCGTTTAAATGCCCTGAGGCAAGCTGAGGTGGGCAAAGCTCATTGAGCTTATGGTTTTCAAAGCACACACATGATTTAATAGTTAGGAAATGTGCCCAGGAATGGGAAACATTAAAATACTGAGGGATGGATGCTGAAGTTTCTGCCTGTACTTGCAGGACATTTGCTATCTTGGGAAGTGGGAGAAAGTACTAATGAAGCATGCTGACGGACTTCTCTGTTTCAGACTGTCATCCTGAGGAGTGTAATGAAGCATACAGTCAAGTTGTTACAGTTTGAAAAGGTTAAAGCAGCTTCGGGGATCATGATTTGTGCTTCTTGGGTACTGGAACATCATGCCAGTAATAAACGATATGAAAGCCAATGACAAAGAAGCAATTAGTTCTCTGCATTGGTGAAAGGCTGCCCAGCTACAGAGTGGATGGTAAAGGCCGTGAATTCTTTTCATTTGAGGTTGAACTGAGTCACGAAGACTCAAGCCAGGGGTGAGTAAATCTTGTCAGCCTGTCAGCAGCATTTATTGGGTTTCCACCATCTGATTATCATATAATTAGGTCTAAACAAGTCCTCAAAAGTTTAGAATACATGTTCTATGATGTCAGTAAGCAGCTTGGAGTCAGTAACCTAACCAAAGTGTACTATGCTTTGGTTGAGACTTAGATTTGGAGTAGACTATGTATCTTACAAAACAATATTTTTGACTTGATCAGTAACAAAGAAACTACGAGGGTAGGTAATTTCATGTTGACCATACGTCTCTTTCAAGTTGTTGAAATGTTTACATATTTCACCAATGATTTTGGTGCTTCTAGGATTCCGATTGCATTTTATTTGCGAACAACTATTATATGCCAGTCACTGCTTTCTAGCAGTAGAGATATAATGGTAAAGAAGAGTTAGTTGGTTCTCTTCAGAATGTTACTGTCTATGGGACTTGCCATGGACAGAGTGACAGTGTGCTAAATGATACCCTGCTACTCTTCCCACTAAAGACAACACAGGAGAAATATCTCTGGCAGATCCATCACCGAATCTGTAGAGAACAATCTCTTAAGGCGTGGCAGACACAGAATCCTAGGAGGAGTTGGGCTAGATGGGGGCTCCTCCCCGCAGTCCTTGACCTTGTAAAACCTTCTACTTCTCTGAGTTTAAAGTATACATAAATCATTGTGGGATCTTGTGAAAATGAAGATTCTTATTCTGCAGATCTGGGATGAATCCTGAGATTGTGCATTTCTTCTAGGTGATACTGATGGTTCTGCTCTGTAGACCAAACTCAAAAAATTCCCATTGCATGGAAATATCCTTAGACAAACACTTGACTACAGTATAAATGACCTAAAATCAGTTTTTTAAAAAAAATTTATGAGACATAATGTGGTAAAGTAATAAGGAAGAAAATATCCTGGCAGGGTAGAAAGATGTAGTCTCAGAAATACAGTAGTGTGGAAGTGACCTTTCTGAGAAAATATATCTTGGGGAGGAAACTACAATGAAAGAAGCAAGCAATATTTTCAATCAGCATTAAAATATGAATGCAGATGAAGCATGTAGCCTGAAGATGACAGTAGATAAATAGCATTTTTTACTCTGGAATTATAAATTATCTTTCATGCCAGCAAACGTTTATGTTTTCCTGGGTTTCTTGGTTAACATAGCTTACTGAAAGGGAAGCATAGAACTTGTAAGCTTTTAAAAGGTAGCAGAAATCATGAGAGCTGCAAAGTCTTCACTAATATTTGTGCTACTCAGCAAATTTATTATTTGATTCACCTATCCCAAGTTGACACCCTTCAGGGAGGGGAAAGTAGAATTTTTGCAGAGGTAAGTTTCCTAAAGACTTTAAAAAATGGCTTTACCTTTGGGACTGTTAGGCCTAATTGTAAATAAATTCTTGCTGCATTCACATCAGCAGTCCTGGATTAGTTAAGAGCTTTACTTGTGTGTGCCAAAACACATTTTTCAAAAATGGCTGAAACTATGTAATCAGCAACTTCGAGTTTGATAGAAAATTACACAGAAATCAGGACCCGTTTCTCCTTGTCCTAGCACCCTGCACTCAACTAAATGATGACTCTTCCTCCTAAGGAAATAGTCATTATATCTTCAAAACACTTACAGATTATTACTATGCTTGCATTTGGCACACTGAACATATTTTGCTCCTTTTCTCTTGTATTCCTTTTTTGTTTTTTGCATTTTAAATCAGATATCAATACTTCTGGTTCCAGTGATTTTTTTCCCCTTCGAAGTTACAGCAGCTACTGTTTTTGAAGACAAAGTATAAGAAACATTTTTTCTCTTTTGAATGAAGTCTGGAACTTGCTGAAAATAATGTCCTTGTACAATGATTTCAACTTGGCTGACTACAACACTGGTGTCCACTGAGGGTTGATGCTTTTAAAACTGGATATGAACTGAACTCCCTAAACACATCTGAGAAAGGTCTAAAACCAAGTCTTACTATAAAATATAGATCGTATATGTGTGTAGTTGTGTTTCTGTACATTTTAAAAACATTTCCTTAAGGAGTACACATCAGTAAACACCAGTGAATAGAACAACAAAGAAGTTAAAATATTCTTCAGACCCCTAGGGCAAACACATGTCTTTGAAAAAAATCACAACACAGAGAACGCGGGTCTAAAAAATATACTATTATCCTATTTTTTCCAACTTTCATAAGGGCAAGAGCCTCTTGTCAATACAGGAAGTTTATATTATTAGTTCATTGTACAGTGATGTTTCTCAAAGTGTAGTACACTAACTTGGAATATTTGTTAAAACTGCTGATTCTTGGGCCTAACCCCAGACCTTTGGAATGAAAGTCATTGGATTATGTATTTTCTGTAATCATTCCTAAGTAAATCGTATGTAACTGAAGTTTGAAAACTATTAGCAAACTAGGTAAGAAAGAAAAGTCTACTTGAAACTTTCCCTGGGAATAGCAAGGAAGCTCTTTAAAGAAGTCTACGTATTAATTAGCTAAAAGTGCCATATATCTACTCATCTTACCCTAAATTTTTTTCCTTTTATTTTCAGTTGACATGTAATAATTTTGTATATTTATGGCATATAGTGCACACAATGTGTAAGGATCAAATCAAGGCAATTATCATATCCATCACTTAGAATATTGATCATTTGTTTGAGTTGTGAACATTCAATATTCTCTCTTCTAGCTTTTTGAAAATATACACTAAATTATTGTTAACCATATTTACTCTAGAGTGTTAAATAACACTAGAACTTATTCCTCCCATGTAGCTGTAACTTTGTATATGTTAACTAGTCTCTTCCTATCTTCCTCTCCTGCCACCCTTTTCATCCCCTAATGATAACAGAGAACAATAATACTATAATAATAAATATAGCTCATAATACTTCTATGAGCTATATTTTTTAGCTCTCATACATGAGTGAGAACACATAGTATTTATCTTTTTGTGCCTTTCTTATTTCACTTAACGTAATGTCCTCCAGGCTCATCTTTGTTGCCACAAATGACAGGATTTCATTATTTTAATGGTTGAATAGTCTTCCATTGTGAATATATACCACATTTTCTTTATTCATTCATCCCCTGATGGACATTTAGATTGATTCCATATCTTTGCTATTGTAAATAGTGCTGCAATAAACATGGAGGTACAGGTATCCCTTTGACACATTGATTTCCTTTTCTTTGATAAATACCCAGTAGTGAGATTGCTTTATCAAATGGTATTTTTAGTTTTTGGAGAAACCTACATACCATTGTCCATAATGACTGTAGTAGTTTAATTGGTGCTAATAGTGTTCAAGAGTTCTCATTTCTCTGCATCCTTACCAGGAATTCTTATTTTTTGCTTTCTTGATAATAGCTTGTCTACCTGGGGTAATATGATATTATTTATATTTATGTTTATATATAAATAGATTGGTAAATGTAAGTAAGTGTTTCCATGAGTTTTGTGAGCTACTCTAGCAAATTAATCAAACCCAAAGAGGGGGTCATGGGAACCCCAACTTAAACCCAGTTCAAGAGAAGTTCATGGTTTTTGGCTTATAACTCCCATATCCCTTGTTACCAATTTTTTTTTGTTGTAATGAAGCAGAATCTTAGGACTGTATTTAATTGTGGATGATAAGACCCTCATTTAAGACAGGGTCCTGCCCCAAACTTGGGAGTAAGAAACACTGCACAGAGAGGCCAAGAAGAATCTGTAAAGATAGGACTTGCTGCATTTAGATCATACCTTTTATGTTCAGTCACATTTCTACATGGTTGTCAATCATGCCTATCCTATGAAGTCGCCGTAAAAGGTGCAAGAAGACAGGATTTGGGGGAGCTTTCTGATAACTGAACACATGAAGATTACTACAGGGTGCTGCATCCAGGAAGGACATGGGATCTCCATGCTTCTTCCCACATACCTTGCCTTATAATATCTGTATTAGTCTGTTCTTGCACTGCTATAAAGACATACCTGAGACTGGGTAATTTATAAAGGAAAGAGGTTTAATTGGCCCATGGTTCTGTGGGCTCCTACAGGCTTCTGCTTCCAAGGAGGCCTCAGAAAACTTACAATCATGGTGGAAGGTGAAGGGGAAGTAGACACATCTTCACATGGCCAGCAGGAGAGAGACAGAACAAAGGGGGAAGTGCTATACACTTTCAAACAAAGACCTCATGAGAACTCTATTATGAGAACAGCAAGGGGGGAGTCCATCCCCATGATTCAATCACCTCCCAACAGGCCTTTCTTCAAACACTGGGAATTACAATTTGACATGAGATTTGGGTGGGGACACAGAGCCAAACCATATCAATATCCTTTATGATAAACTGTTAAATGTAAGTGAGTGTTTCCCTGAATTTTGTGAGCTACTCTAGCAAATTAATCAAACCCAAAGAGGGAGTCATGGGAACCCCAACCTAAACCCCATTCATCAGAAGTTCTGGAGGCCTGGAGTTGCAACTGGTTTCTGAAGGGGGTAGGACAGTTTTTGGGACTGAGCCCACAACCTGTGGGATCTGACATTATCTCCAGGTAGATAGTGTTGGAATTGAATTGCAGGACACCCATCTGATATCTACACCGAACTGATTGTGCACTTGGTGAATTGCTCCCCTTCCAACTCCCCACACATTTTGTCACGGAAGTCTTCATCTGTGTTATGATTGTTGTAGTGTGAAAGCAGAGGAAAAATGTGTGTTTTTTTTTCCCAAAGAGATGAGATGGTATCTCACTGTGGTTTTGTCTTGCATTTTCCTGATGATTAGTAATATTGTGCTTTTAAAAATATATTCTGGATATTAGTTCCTTGTTACATAAATAGTTTGCAGATATTTTCTCTCATTCTACAGATTGTGTCTTCACTTTTTGTTTTCTTTTGCTGTGCAGAAGCTTTTTAGTTTGTTATAGTCCCATTTGTTTATTTCTGATTTTGTTGCCTGTGCTTTTGAGGTCTTAGCCATAAAATCTTTGCCTAGACCAATGTCCTGAAGTGTTTATATATGTTTTTTTCTACTAGTTTTATAGTTTTGGGTCTTATATTTAAGTCTTTAATCCATTTTAATGGTGAGGAATAGGGATCTAGTTTTCCTCTTCTGTATATGGATATTCTATTGTCCCAACACCATTTATTGAAGAGACTATCCCAATGTATGCTCTTGGAATCTTTGTAAAAAATTAGCTGACTGTAAACACATAAATTTATGTCTGGGGGTAACTATTCTGTTTCATTGTTCTATATGTCTGCTTTTACATGTTTCATCATGCTTTTTTGGTTAATATGAATTTGTAAGGTAGTTTCACACTTTGTCAGATAGTGCAACGTCTTCAGTTTTGTTCTTTTTGTTTAGCATTCCTTTGTCCATTCATGGTTTTTTTCTTGTGGTTCTATACAAACATTAGGACTGCTTTTTCTATTTCTTACACTGATGTTTTATTAGGAATTACACTAAATTTGTAGATTGCTTTGGGTAGTGTAATCATTTTAACAATATTAATTATTTCAATTCATGAGTATGGAATGTCATTACATTTTTGTGTGTGTCCTCTTTACTTTCTTAAATCAGTGTAGTTTTCATTGTAGATACCTTTTACCTCTTTGGTTACATTTATTTCTAGGTATATTAATTTTTGTAGCTATTATAAATGGAATCACTTTCTTGATTTCTGTTTCAGCTAGTTCATTATTGGTGTATAAAATTGCTACTGACTTTTGTATGTTGTTTTTGTATTCTACAACTTCACTGAATTTGCTTATTAGTTTTAAGACTTTTTTCATGAAGTCTTTAGGTTTTTCTATATATAAGATCATGTTATGTGCAAAGAACAATTTAACTCCCTTTTTATCAATTTGGATTCCTTTAATTTTATTCTCTTGACTAATATCTTTGGTTAAAACTTCCAGTATTCTGTTGAATAAAAGTGGTAAAAGTGGACATCCCTTGTTTTGTTCCAGTTCTTAGAGAACAGTCTTTCAGCTTTCTCCCCATTCAGTGTGATGTTATTTCTGGATTTGTCATATAAAGTCTTCATGTGTTGAGGTATATTTCTTGTATGCTTAATTTGTTGAGAGTTTTTATCATGAAAGTGGTTTGAATTTTATCAAATGCTTTCTCTTAATTTATTGAGATGATTATATGGTTTATTTCCATTACATTGATGTAATGTATCACATTTACTGATTTGCATGTGTTGAACTATCCTTGCATTACTGGGATAAATCTCACTTGATTTGGTGTATTATGTTTTTGATGTGCTGTTGGCTTTGGCTTGCTAGTATCTATTGAAGAGTTTTGAAACTATATTCATGAGGGATATTGTTCTGTTTTCTTTTTTTATTGTATTTTTGTCTGATTTTTGTATCAGAGTAATGCTGGCCTTGTAGGATGAGTTAGTAAGAATTCCTTTATCTTCAATTTTTTGGAATAGTTTGAGGAGAATTGGTATTAGTTCATCATTAGAAATTTGTTAGAATTTTACAAGTAATGCCATTTGATCATGGGCTTTCTTTTGCTGGAGGATTTATTATAACTAATTCAATCTCATTACTCATTATTGGTCCATTCAGGTTTTGTATTTCTTCCTGGTTCGATCTTGGTAGGTTATGTGTATCAAGGAATTTATCCATTTTTTAAGGTTTTCTACTTGGTTGGTGTATAGCTGTTCATAATAGTCTCAGTGATCCTTTGTGTTTCCCTACTATCAGTTATAAAGTTTCCTTGTTTCTGATTTTATTTATTTGGGTCTTCTCTCCTTTTTTTTCTGAGTTTCATTAATGATTTGTTGATTGTGTTTATCTTTTCAAGACACCAACTTTTCATTTCATTGACCTTTTGTGCTGTTTTTAAAGTCTCTGTTCTGCTTAGTTTTGTGCTGGCCTTTATTATGTATTTCCCTCTACTAATTTGGGGTATGAGTTCTTATTGTTCCAGTTTTTTGAGGTACAGTGCATCATTAGGTTGTTTATTTGAAATCTGTCTACTTTTTTGACGTGGGCATTTATTACTATAAACTTCCCTCTTAGTAATGTTTTTAATTCCATAGGTTTTGGTATGATGTGTTTCCATTTTTGTCTGTTTCAAGACTTTTTTTCTTCATTGATCCAAAGATCATTCAGGAGCATATTGTTTAATTTTTATGTATTTGTATGGTTACCAGTGTTCCTTTTGTTATTGATTTCTAGTTTTTTTCCACTGTGGTCTGAGAAGATACTTGATGTGATTTCAAATTTTGTATTTGTTGGAATTTGTTTTGTGGCCTAACATATCCTGGAGAATGTTCCATGTACTGATGAGAAAATGTATATTCTGCAGCTGTTGGATGAAATTTTTTGTAAATGGCTGTTAAGTCCATTTGGTCTATAGCACAGTTTGAGTCCAGTGTTTCTTTGTTGTTTTCTTCTCTAGGTGATCTGTTCAATGCTGAAACTGAGATATTGAAGGCCTCAGCTATTATTGCATTGGAGTCTATCTCATTCTTAAGCTCTAATAATATTTGATATTTGGGTAGTATTGGGTGCATATATATTTCCTCTTGTTTTATCTTCTTGCTGAATAGATCTCTTTATCATAGAATGACTTTCTTTGTTTCTTTTTTTGTTTTGGACTTAAAGTCTATTTTATGTGATATATGCTTGCTTTTCTTCCTACTTTTGGGTTTTTTTTTTCACATGGAATATCATTTTCCATCCTTTCCCTTTCAGCTTGTTTATCTACAGATCAAGTGAGTTTCTTGTAGGTAGCAGATAGATGGATCTTTTTTTTTCTTTTTTTAAAATTCATTCAGTCAGTCTATATCTTTTAATTGGGGAATTCACATCATTTACCTTCAAGGTTGTCATTTTGTGTGTGGAATTAGTCCTGCTATTTTGTTAGATGGTTTCTGATTGTCTTGCATATAATTTTTTCCTTTCTTCCTCACTTATTATCTTTGCAGTTTGGTGTTTTTCTGTGCTGATAATGTTTGATTCTTTTTTATTTCTTATTTGTGCATGTGCCCTATTAGTAAGTTTTATACTTTTGTGTGTTTTAGTGATGGTAGATGGTTGATTGTCCTTTTGCTTCCAGATGTAGAACTCCTTTAGTATTTCCTGTAGTACTAGTCTAGCTGTGATGAATTCTCTCAGTTTTTGCCTATCTGGGAAATACTTTATTTCTCCTTCATTTCTGTGGGACAGCTCTGCTGGATATAGTATTTTTGGCTCACAATTATTTTTTCAGCACTTTGAATATATTATCTCCTTCTGTCCTGGTATGTAAAGTTTCTAATAAAAAATGTGCTGTTAGTCTGATGGAGATTCCCTCATATGTGACTTGGCAGTATTTCTTTTGCTGTTTTTAGAATTCTTCCTTTGTCTTTGACTTTTGACAGTTTTCTTATAGTGTGCCTCAGAGAGGACCTTTTTGGGTGGAATCTATTTGAAGACCTTTGAACTTTCTGTATCTAAATGTCTATATGTCTTACAAGACTTGGGAAGTTTTCAGCTGTTATTTTACTAAATAGGTTTTCCATGTCTTTTCCCATCTCTTCTTCTGGATTCCCCAAATTCAAATATCTGTTTTCCTGATGGTGCCCCATATGTCACACTGACTTTTTCATCCTTTAAGTTCTTTTTTTCTTTGTCTGACTGAGTTATTTCAAAAGACCTCTTCAAGTTCAGAAATTATTTGTTCTGCTTGATCTGTTATATTGTTGAAGCTTGCAATTATATATTTATGTCATTCACTGTTTCCTTCAGTTCCAGAATTTGTGTTTGGTTCTTTTTTATGATATTTATCCTGTTGGTAAATTTCTCATTCAGATCATGATTTGTTTTTCTAATTTCTTCATATTATCTATCTGTGTTATCTTGTATCTTGCTCAGATTTCTTAAAATTATTATTTTGAATTATTTTTAGGCACTGCATAGATTTCCTGTAATTTAGGATCTTTTACTGAAGAATTATTGTGTTCCATTGGGGTGTTGTGTTTCCTTACTTTTTCATGTTTCTTCATGTTAATGTATACACATCTGGTGTAACAGTCACTGATTACATTTTTTTAAAATTATACTTTAAGTTCTGGGTACATGTACAGAACGTTCAGGTTTGTTACATAGGTATATATGTGCCATCGTGGATTGCTGCATCCATCAACCTGTCACCTACG